TTGTAGAGAAATAAGTATTTTGCAGTTAAGCTCCGCCCCTTTGGTTCATGGCGAATAAAAAATCATCACAATTGAGATAGGGCGGGTGGGTGGGTTGACATTTTTCCTTATTGTTTTAATCTGTGTAGACTTCTTTTCACGACATGAAACTTAAAATATGTTTAAAATGGAAAATTTGTATAAGGAAATATCGATTTTGCAATTCGGCTTCGCTCCAAAATCAATATTTCCTTGCAAAAATGGACCATGTTTTAAGTTTCTTGTTGTGAAAAGATGGCTGCGTACATTAAGAAAAAAAGGCAAAATATAAGCCCCGCCCACCCACCCTGTCTCAATTGTGATGATTTTTTTTATGCATCGTGAGGCAGGAAGGCGGAGCTTAACTGCAAAGTACTTATTTCTCTACGAGATTGTAAAAACATGTTTTTGAGTATCGTGTTGATCAAAGAATACTGTGTATATTAAGAAAAAAGTAAAGTCAAAGATTAGGCCCCACCCATACCCGTCCCGATCTCAATTCTCAATTGTAACGAATTTTTCTATTCGTTGTCAGATCGAGGGGCGGAGCTTAATTGCAAGATCCATGTTTGTCTACAAGAATTTACCATTTTAAACATGTTTTAAGTTTCTTGTTCTGAAAAGACGCCTACGTATATTAAGAAAAAAAGCAAAATATAAGCCCCGCCCACCCACCTTGTCTCAATTGTGATGATTTTTTTAATCGTCGAGAGCCAAAGGAGCGGAATTTAATTGCAAAATCCTTAGTATTTCTCTACAAGGAATTACCATGTAAGACATATTTTTGAGTATCGTGTTGTTCGAAGAATATTATATATATTAAGAAAAAATTAAAGCCAAATATTAAGCCCCACCCATATCCGTCCCGATCTCAATTCTCGATTGTGATGAATTTTTCATTCGTTTTTAGAGCGAGGGGCGGGGCTAAACGTGTTGTGAGTTTCTAAGGATTAAAAAAAATCATCACAATTAAGATCGGGTGGGTGGGCGGGGTTTATATTTTGCCTTTTTCTTTTAATGTGCATAGTATTCTTTGATCAACACGATACTCAAAAACATGTTTTTCATTTCCTGTAAAGAAATAAGTATTTTGCAGTTAAGCTCCGCCCGCTTGGTTCACGGCGAATAAAAAAATCATCACAATTGAGATAGGGCGGGTGGGCGGGCTTACAATTTGTCTTTTTGTTTTAATTATGTGTAGACTTCTTTTCACAGCATGAAACTTAAAATATGTTTAACATGGAAAATTTGTATAACGAAATATCTTTCCTTGCAAAAATGTACTATTTTGACCTCGTTTTAAGTTTCTTGTTGTGAAAATAAGGCAAGATATAGCCCAGCCCCAGAATTGAAAAATCCATATTTCCTTGCAAAAATGTACCATTTTAACCATGTTTTAAGATTCTTGTTGGGAAAAGGTGGCTATGTAAGTATGTTAAGAAAAAAAAAGGCAAATATAAGCCCCACCCACCCTCCCTATCTCAATTCTGATGATTTTTTTTATTCGTCATAAGACGAAGGGCGGAGCTTAATTGTAAAAACCTTATTTTTCTGCGAGAAATGTGAAATATGTACTTAAGTAGTCGTGTTATACAAAGAAAACTAAATGCATTACGTAATTAAAAAAGAAAACCAAAAGAGAAGCCCCACCCATTCGTCTTGAGAGATCAAGACGATGGAGACATCGTGATGAATTTTTCATTCGTTGTCAGACTGCGGGGCGGAGTATAATTGCCAAATACAGATTCCCCCACAAAACATTTGAAAACATGTTTCACGTGGTAATTTCTTGTAGAGAAATATATAAATTTGCAAACAAGCTCCGCCCCTCGTCTTACGACGAATAAAAAATTAATCACAATTGAGACGGGGGCGGGTGGGTGGGGCTTATCCTTTGACGTTCTTTTTGTAAGATAGACAGTTTTCTTTCCATAATTAAATACTTAAAAATATTAAATGGTAAATTTGAGGTTAGAATTATGTTCATCTGCGTCACAGAATTTCCAGATCTACCGAATTATACTACAAATTTACAAAAAAGTTAAGTTGTGAATACCAAACGTTCTAGTTTTGTATTTTTTTTTCTTCTTTGGATATCTCCTTTTAATCTTGAGAGAAAAAAAATCATTCCCGCCTTTTTCTCAAAATAATTTATCTTCGACAGTGCGATAATACCTCAAACATGTTTCACTTTGCAATTAAGCTCCGCCCCCTGGTCTCACAACGAATAAAAAGTTTTATCACAATTAGGATTTGTACGGGTGGGAGGGGCATAATATTCAGTTTCTTTTTCTTAATATATATATAACTTTTTTCAACAAGACAATACACAAAACATGTTTCGAGTGGTCACTTCTTGTAGAGAAAGATGACCTTTGCAATAAGCTCCGCCCCTCGTCTCACGACAATAAAAAATTAATCACAATAGAGATAGGGGCCGGTGGGTGGGGCTTATACTTTTCTTTTCCTAAGATACCAAGTTTTCTTCTTTCAATAAGCGCAAAAGAGCAAAATATAAGCCCCGCCCACCCACCCTATCTCAATTCTGATGATTTTTTTAATTCGTCGTCAGACCGAGGGGCGGAGCCTAATTGCAAAATCCATACTTTCCTATAAAAGTTTACCATTTTAAACATGTTTTACTTTTCTTCTTTAAATCGACCTTTACTGTCTTTAATCGTCAGTATGTTCGATATTTCAAAGACAATAAAGTTATTATCAAAAATTTCCATTAAAATAATTAAATTAAACGAATGAATCAACAAAGATTTGGGTTAAAATATTTTTTATTATACATAGATAAATTGTTGGTTGCATAAGTAACATGATTGTCGCTAAAATCTGTCAATTTAGCGTCTATGTCGCTATAGACGCTAAATTGACAGATTTTAATTTTCTTTGATAAGTTCAGCCGCGTTGGTATTTGAAATGTCAAACTTTCGAATTGAAAAAAAACTGCAAAATGGTTGCTAGTAGGGGTGATTACTAAACCAATTTTTTCGTTCTCTAGGGGTCAAGAAACATTGAGAAAACATTAAAGTAGCCAGTCATTCTATTACAATACTTGCCGATCGAGGAATTTCATTGAATGTTGAAAGTGGAGAACGAAACAGGAAGATTCAATCATAGCGAAATCAGAAACATCTTTAGAGAAAAGGACGGAAATTTAGAAAATAAAGTTGATTGATGAAATTTTTAAATATCAACAATTAGTTAGTAATTTTAGGAACCGTTATTCTAAAATTCCCCTTCATAAAGACCTCGTTCCAATACTTTAGTTAGAAGTAAGTAAAACCAGTAGAAAATCAGTTGAATCTCTCTAATAAAACCAAAGTTATATTAACAATTTTACAGCTGATGACTTTAACGAACAATTTATAAATGTACCACAAATTCTTTCTTCCCACTTTGCTGCTTTAACTCAACAAAGTTATAAACTTGTTAAAAATTTCAGATTAAAAAGTTATAATTCGAAGTGCTTTTCACCCATAAACAGCAATGATCTTGTTAAGCACATCAAACAATAAAAACTGTGACATCTGTAGTGAAGTTCAACCATTAAATTAATGAAAATATATTATATTACCTGTTACTTGAAACTTATTATTTCAGTCCAAGATTTTCCTTTAATTACGACCCCCTTGTAAACTCAGCGAAACCGCAACCAATTAAGACTCACAAGTTCGGCGTTCACAATGCCACCTTAAACAATAAAGTAACCGATGAACTCTTCCCGTTTGGCTAAAAACCAGTCCATTTCGCTTGTATTCGATGCAAACTCGCGTAATCATTGTTCCTGTAAGCGCACCCAGCCGGAATCAGTACTCCTATCGATTCAACACTTAGTAACAAGTACCGAACTTCCCTAATCTCGCCAGCACCGCTCCCGACCCAATTAAATCCGATCAGTTTCGTGCGCGTTTTTTCGTCCATTTATTCCGGGCCGTAAAATGGCTGCATAAAACGCTTCGACGCTGGCAAATGGTAGGCGAGTTTCTTTAGAAATATCGGCACAGAGTTCCGCAGCCGGCGGCATGTCACGCAAACTAAGGATACTTAACCAGTTTCGGCGCCGCCGCCACGCCGCCTCCAGGAAACTAGCGCGTGCTGCGGACTTCGGCGAGGACGTGCCTTTCTATCGGGCAGCTCGGCTCACACATGAATAAGATTTGCGGCCAGCCTTATCTGTGACACATTTATCTCCATTCAGGGCGACCTCTTTGATATTTCGCTGCTTCCGACAAAGTATTAAGCGCACTTTTTCATAATATACTGGGCCAGCAGGAAGGAAAACGTTCACGAGAGAAATTACCGACCTCATGCTGTCACAAACGGTTTTGGATATATGGCGATAGGTGGAGAGATAATCAGCCACTGAAAATGTCACTTGCGGACTTAATCTGGGGGCTCACAACAGCGGGAAAAGTAACAGGCCGTGGATAATGTATTTTTGCTATTTTAGATTCTCTGACTTTAAATGTACATTATTTAAATTCTTTTTTACATAATGTCAGGCGTCTGCGTTTTTTTACGTAGGTGCTAGCTAACTTTCGGTATTATAACGCCTCGGAATATTTTGCTCAGTTCTTTGACCCATAAAAGTCTGCTTACGCACCTCGTAAAGTAAATAGCAATTACTTACCTAACCCACGCATAACAAACAACTACAAATCTATAACTTCAAAGCTTTGAGCTTACGATTACGATTATGTAAAGAAAAAATTACTGGCCGTTCACCACAGGGTTTCGCTATTATTACTGCACAAAATCGGTGTGACGTGACATAAAAACACAGACCTTTATTCGATAATTGTCATGTAATTCCCAACCACGTCCTTCAGAATAGAGCTTTGTGACTGCATTGTGTCGTAAATGGCATAATTGTCACATTATATGACATGTTGCAATTATTCTAATAGCAATAATAACATATATTGGTTGAGGGTTTATTAGTGACACGGAAACAATGTCATTTTACTCACCTTCCTAATGAATGTGGGCAATTATGGTTTACGAGACACCTGAACACACCTGGAAAAGAGAAACTAATTAGTGGGAAATACACACAATTATCGTATTAGTAATTTTCGTATAATTGGAGAAGGAAATTTTTAAATACAGTGGAGAAGTAGCTATGGCAATTTTCAAAGAATTTCAACGTTTTGAGACCCTGTATTAGGATTTTTGGTGCATGGACAGTGAGCTAATGAAGCATTGTAGTAAATCATCCATGTTTTTCTCGACGTTGCATGACCCCTAGAGCATGAAAAAATAAGTTCCCCATTTCAACTGTCTGTCATATATCTATCGTCTGTGGTTTGTCGGGTCAGGCCAGGTCAGGTCTATTTGTCGTCTATCGTCTTAGCGATTTTGTTTTACTTTTTCACTTTCCACCCCCGCTCCATAAGAAAATATAATTAGCCCCGCCCACCCACCCTGCCTTCATTTCAATGATTAATTTTGCCCACTCTGAATGAAATGAATGATTTTAGCAAATGACATACTATACAAGAAAATAGAGGGCGGGTGGGCGGGGCTAGTACTTACTAAAATAAGAGTGAATTTGGCAGATGACATATCCTCCAGGAAAACAGAGGGTGGGTGTGTGGGGCTAGTATTTCATAAGATAAAGCTGATTTTGACACTTTAGGCATTTTCGACAATCTTTTAACCATTTTCGAAAATACGCTAAATTTTTTCAAAAATTTCCACCGTTCTTTCAAAATGGCCAAAAAATTTACGATTAACGATTTTTTTTACTTTTTTACATTCAAGATTCTATTTGTTTCTATTTCCACTGCATAGGAGAACATAATTATCCCCGACCACCAACCCTGCCTTCATTGCAGTGATTAATTTTATCCAGTTTGAATGAATTGAATTATTTTATACTAAACAGACATAAAATTAATCGTTAGAATGAGAAAAGTGGGGGTGGGCGGGTCTAGTACTTACTGATGTAAGACTGATTTTGGCAAAAGACAGATGTTCCAAGAAAATAGAGGGTGGGTGGGCGGGGCTAGCATTTTATAAGATAAGACCGATTTTGACAGTTTTGCCATTCTCCCATTTTTCAACCATTTTCGAAAATTAGATAGACATTTTCTTGTATATTCCGACATTCAGAATTCATTTTCGGCCTTGCTTTTTCAAAAATTTTTATCGTTCTTTCAAAATCACCAATCAAAATATATCAATTTTTACAGATCCAGTAGTAAATATTATAACAAAAAATTTACGATTAGTGCTTTTTTTTTACTTTTTTCACGTCTTAGATTCTATTAGTTGCCACTACTGCTCCATAGGAGGACATAATTAGAACCGCCCACCCACCCTGTCTTCATTCCAGTGATTCATTTTGTCCGCTTTGAATGACATGACAGATCTTATATGGAATAGAAATCTAAGGGTGGGCGGGGCTAGTACTTGATAAGATAAGACTGTTTTTGGCAAATGACATATCTTCCAAAAACATAGAAGGCGGGTGGGGGGGGCTAGCATTTTATAAGATATGACTGATTTTGACATTTTTGACATTTTCGACCGTTTTTTAACCTTTTTGAAAATTAGCTAGACATTTTCTTGTAAATTTTGACATCCAGAAGTCGTTTCGGCTTCGTATCTGTCATTCTTTCAAAATCTCCAATTGAAATATGTATAGCAATTTTTACAGTTCCAGTGGCAAATAGTATAACAAAAAATGTATATTTTCGCATTCTAGATTCTATTGGTTTCCACTCCTACTCCATAGGAGAAAATAATTAGCCCCGCCCACCCACCCTGCCTTCATTCCAGTGATTAATTTTGTCCGCTCTGAATGAAATGACCGATCTTATATGGAATAGAAATAAAATTAGTCCGTAGGATGAGAAGTCTGGGGGTGGGCGGGGCTAGTACTCGCCAAGATAAAACTGATTTTGGCAAATGCCACATCCTCCAAGAAAATAGAGGGCGGGTGGGCGGGGCTAGTACTTAATAAGATAAGACTGTTTTTGGCAAAATGACATATCTTCCAAAAACATTGAGGGCGGGGCGGGGCTAGCATTTTATAAGATAAGACCGATTTTGACAGTTTTGCCATTCTCACCATTTTTCAACCATTTTCGAAAATTAGTTAGACATTTTCTTGTATATTCCGACATTCAGAATTCATTTTCGGCCTTGCTTCTTAAAAAATTTCTATCGTTCTTTCAAAATCATTAATCAAAATATATAAATTTTTACAGTTCCACTAGTATTATAACAAAAAATTTACGATTAGTGCTTTTTCTTTACTTTTTTCACTTCCTAGATTCTATTAGTTTCCACTACTACTCCATAGGAGGACATAATTAGCCCCGCCCAACCACCCTGCCTTCATTCCAGTGATTAATTTTGTCCGCTCTGAATGAAATGACCGATCTTGTACGGAATAGAAGTAAAATTAGTCCTTAGGATGAGAAGAGTGGGGGTGGGTGGGCGGGGTTAGTACTTGCCAAGATAAAACTGATTTTGGCAAATGACACATCCTTCAAGAAAATAGAGGGCGGGTGGGCGGGGCTAGTGTTTAATAAGATAAGACTGTTTTTGGTAAATGACATATCTTCCAAAAACATAGAGGGCGGGTGGGCGGGGCTAGCATTTTATAAGATAAGACCGATTTTGACAGTTTTGCCATTCTCACCATTTTTCAACCATTTTCGAAAATTAGCTAGACATTTTCTTGTATATTCCGACATTCAGAATTCATTTTCGGCCTTGCTTCTTCAAAAATTTCTATCGTTCTTTCAAAATCATCAATCAAAATATATCAATTTTTACAGTTCCAGTGGTATTATAACAAAAAATTTACGATTAATGCTTTTTTTTACTTTTTTCACGTCCTAGATTCTATTAGTTTCCACTACTACTCCATAGGAGGGCATAATTAGCCCCGCCCACCCACCCTGCCTGCATTCCAGTGATTAATTTTGTCCGCTCTGAATGAAATGACCGATTTTGTACGGAATAGAAGTAAAATTAGTCCTTAGGATGAGAAGACTGGGGGTGGGCGGGGATAGTACTTGCCAAGATAAAACTGATTTTGGCAAATGACACATCTTCCAAGAAAATAGAGGGCGGGTGGACGGGGCTAGTACTCGATAAGATAAGACTGTTTTTGGCAAATGACATATCTTCCAAAAACATAGAGGGCGGGTGGGCGGGGCTAGCATTTTATAAGGTATGACTGATTTTGACATTTTCGAAATTTTCGACCGTTTTTTAAACTTTTTCCAAAAATTAGCTACACATTTTCTTGTAAACTTCGACATCCAGAAGTCGTTTCGGCTTCGTTTCTGTCGTTCTTTCAAAATCTCCAATTGAAATATAGCAATTTTGTACAGGTCCAGTAGCAAATAGTATAACGAAAAAATTTACATTTTCACATTCTAGATTCTATTGGCTTCCAAATACTACTCCATAGGAGGAAATAATTAGCCCCGCCCACCCACCCTGTCTTTATTCCAGTGATTAATTTTGTCCGCTCTGAATGAAATGACCGATCTTATCCGGAATAGAAAAAAATTAGTCCTAAGGATGAAAAAACTGGGGGTGGGCGGGGCTAGTACTTGCCAAGATAAAACTGATTTTGGCAAATGACACATCCTCCAAGAAAATAGGGGGCGGGTGGGTGGGGCTAGTACTTGATAACATAAGACTGTTTTTGGAAAATGACATCTTCCAAAAACATAGAGGGCGGGTGGGCAGGGCTAGCATTTTATAAGATATGACTGATTTTGTCATTTTTGACATTTTCGACCGTTTTTTAACCTTTTTCGAAAATTAGCTAGACATTTTCTTATAAACTTCGACATCTAGAAGTCGTTTAGGCTTCATTTCTGTCGTTCTTTCAAAATCTCCAATTGAAATATTGCAATTTTTACAGTTCCAGTAGCAAATAGTATAAGAAAAAAATTACATTTTCACCTTCTAGATTCTATTGGTTTCCACCACTACTTCATAGGAGGAAATAATTAGCCCCGCCCACCCACCCTGCCTTCATTCCAGTGATTAATTTTGGCCGCTCTGAATGAAATGACCGATCTTATACGGAATAGAAAAAAATTAGTCCTAAGGATGAAAAAACTGGGGGTGGACGGGGTTAGTACTTGCCAAGATAAAACTGATTTTGGCAAATGACACATCCTCCAAGAAAATAGGGGGTGGGTGGACGGGGCTAGTACTTGATAAGATAAGACTGTTTTTGGAAAATGACATCTTCCAAAAACATAGAGGGCGGGTGGGCAGGGCTAGCATTTTATAAGATATGACTGATTTTGACATTTTTGACATTTTCGACCGTTTTTAAACTTTTTCGAAAATTATCTAGACATTTTCTTATAAACTTTGACATCTAGAAGTCTTTTCGGCTTCGTTTCTGTCGTTCTTTCAAAATCTCCAATTGAAATATAGCAATTTTTACAGTTCCAGTAGCAAATAGTATTACAAAAAATTAACATTTTCACATTCTGGATTCTATTGGTTTCCACTACTACTCCATAGGACACAATTAGCCCCGCCCACCCACCCTGCCTTCATTCGAGTGATTAATTTTGTCCGCTCTGAATGAAATGACCGATCTTATATGGAATAGAAATAAAATTAGTCCTTACGATGAGAAGACTGGGGGTGGGCGGGGCTAGTACTTGCCAAGATAAAACTGATTTTTTCAAATGACACATCCTCCAAGAAAATAGAAGGCAGGTGGGTGGGGCTAGTACTTGATAAGATAAGACTGTTTTTGGCAAATGACATTTTCCAAAAATATAGAGGGCGGGTGGGCGGGGCTAGCATTTTATAAGATATGACTGATTTTGACTTTTTTGACATTTTCGACCGTTTTTAACCTTTTTCAAAAATTAGCTAGACATTTTCTTGTAAACTTCGACATCCAGAAGTCGTTTCGGCGTCGTTTCTGTCGTTCTTTCAAAATCTGTAATTGTAATATAGCAATTTTTACAGTTCCAGTAGCAAATAGTATAACAAAAAATTTACATTTTCACATTCTAGAT